GAAACATGCATTGGACAACCCCTCCTCCCCCCAAAAAACAGTTGCTAAGAGCCTTCTTAAGCCTGTGTAGCATGTAAATATCCAATTAAAATGACAAAATATCAAGGGCAGAGGTATCTTAGAAATTCTTTGGAGTTCCACCACCTCATTCCATACAGTGGAAAGTGATGAGGATGAAGTAATTTGGCCAAAGTCACACCAAAGGTAGCAAATGGATTTCCATGTTTACTTGAGAAATCTAGAAAAAGAATAGAGCAGGAATGGTTAGATAAAGACAGTAAGACAAGAAGATGCTTAAAGGAAAATAAAGACCTGAAATATAAAAGGATGGAAAAAAAATTCCAATACACAAAGTGAAAAGCTCAATGAATGATTAAACTTAGCTGCTTTGAAACCACTGAGATCCCTCTGACAGCAGCTCTAAAAATTTCATTAAGCAAGCTCCACCCATGAACAGTTTGAGGACAGCTCATGAAAATAAACAGGTTTTGTAGTGTTCTAATAAAGTTTGGTATACCTAGCCTGATAAAAGTCAAAACAAATTAAAAGAAAAGAAAAAAAAACAAAACCAATCAAAATTCTGACTTCCCTTCCAGATTTCTTATCACAGAAATATAACAAACGACACTTTACTCTACGTTATTGTTTGATCTCAAACGTTCCCCAAAGCTCATGTGTTAAAGGTTTGATCCCCAGGATGGCACTAGTGGTGGTGGGTGAAACCTGTAAGAGGTAAGGCCTGGCTGGAGGTTGTTCTGTCACTGTCACTGGGTGCGTACCCTTAAAGGGGATTGTGGGACTTGGGCTCCCATCCTCCTTGCTCTCCTTTGGCTACTAGCAATGAGGTGAGCAGGTTTGTTCTACCTCGTGCTCCCTGCTGAGGCCTTTGGGCGCCTCCACCTGTGGCCTAAAAGCAATGGGGCCCCATGATGGTAAACTGGAACCTCTAAAATCGTAAGCCATTAGTTCATTATAAAAGACATATATATTTCTTTTTTTAAAGCAAGACAAAGTTTTATTCACTTTCCAAGGGAGGAACGGAGCTTCACAGGCATTTATTGGTGTGCAGTAACTGCATGCAGCAGGGTGCATCATGACATCGCCATCCGTGCAGACAACATGCTTTCATCATATTTACCCTTCCATTGCTCTCTTATCCCTTCTACATCTCTAGAGGTCACCCCTCTATTTTCATGATCTTGTTTTGTTTTTTTTTTTCCCCTAACTTCCATAATGAGAGAAAACAGGTAATAATTGTCTTTGTGGGACTAGTTTATTTCCCTTGACATCATAATCTCTAGTTCCATCCATTTTCACTTTTTTTAATGGCTGAGTAAAACTCCATTGTGTATGCATACCACATTTTCTTTAGCTACTCATCCATTGATGGGCACTAAGGCTGATTCCATAATTTGGCTATTGTAAAAAGTACTGTGATAAACATAGGTATATATGTATCTCTATAGTAAGTTGACTTCGATTCTTTTGGATATATACCCACAAGTGGTATGGCTGAATCATATGGTAGCTCTATTTTTAATCTTTTAAAGAATCTCTGGACTGATTTCCATAGAAGCTGGGCTAATTTACACTCCTATCAGCAGTAAATAAGAGTTTTTTCCTCTTCCCAACCTGCATCCTTTCTAGCATTTGTTGTTATTTTCTTGATGATAGCCATTGTGACTGGGATGAGGTGGAATTTCAATGTAGTTTAGATTTAAATATCTCTGATAGCTATGTATCTTATAGTGATGGAAAGCTGACTATCACACCATGGTATTTTAGCCTTCATGTATCTTTATGGTTTTTCATCCTTGCTATTAAGAGGTTGCCTAGGGCCTGATATTGTTGAAATGATTTTGGGGGGGTACTATGGTTTGAGTAAGTTTTTCTCAAGGTCCCATGTGTTAAAGCTTGGTTCCCAATATGGCACTATTAGGAAGCAAGGGGACCTTTAGAAGGTGGGGTCTGCTACGAAGCCATTAGGTCGCTGGAGATCTGCCCTTGCAGCAAGCTGTGGGACCCTCAACTCTTTTTCACTTTTGCTTCCTAGCTCGTGATAAATGGTTTTGGGCCACTACATGCTCCTATTATGATGTGCTGTCTTGTCACAGGCCCAAAAGCAATGGGACCAATCAATTATGAACAGAACTTCCAAAACTATAAACCAAAATAAATATTTCTCTTTTTAAATTAATTATCACAGATATTTTATTATGTAGCAGAAAGGTGACTAACAGCGGGATGGAGACTAAACTATTGATATCATATGAAAAACTCCTGTCTCCAACTGGGAGAATTTAGTAAAAAGGAGTTCAGGACAAACAAGTCCATAGTAAAAGTTACAAGTTAATTTTTGAAAGGCATATGTGCACATTAACATTTTTTTAAGTATTAGATAGAAAGCTATGCATCCTGGAAACTTAATGAAGAAATAAAATTGGAAGTGAGCTTTAAAAACAGGTCAGGGTATCAAGGTCACAACTAGCACTTTGTTTAATGCTGTAAAATAAAAATGCCAAGAAAACTGTACATAGAAAGGATAAGGCCCAGTCTATAGAACTGTTGTTTAAATTATGTATATGTGTATAAATATATGTGTATTATATATATATGTATAATATATGTACACATATATAGTATACATATTATATGTGTATATATGTATATTATATATGTATAATATATATACACATATATATATGTGTGTATTATATATGCATATAATACACACATATATACGAATGTTTCCTGATTAGTAATATAAAATATTTGTTACTGTAGATCACTTATTTAAAAGTATGAGAAGCAAGTTTAAAAGAACATCAATATAAGCAAAAACCAATGAAAAATGCTAATGCATCACAGCTTACATTTGTCTGTAACAGTGAATTAAATGCAGGGTACATAATATAAGAGGTAATTTTAGTAGAAAGAGAACAGAACAAAATTAGTTTCAGTGCTGAATCCTCAATGCCAGGTACAGTGTATTTAATAAGCATTTGTGGAATGAATTGTGAAAAATTTGGACCCAATTAAATATAGGAGACCAGAGGCATTTAAAAATAAAAGAATATAATCAAAAACGTGTTTGAAAAAGATCTTTTTACAGCATATTAGAGAAATGAAAAACTGAAGGCTGTTTCCTATATATTTATGGGTGTGTGTGAACGTAATACATACTGGATACAGATATAAATGTATCACAGATATATGGATATGCATTTATATATAAATGTGTATATATATACCTACACACAAGTATGTGCTACGTAATGACAATTTGGTCAACAATGAACAACATACAATACAACAGTGGTGCACAAAACTATATAGAGTTCAAAGCTTCGTATTTCCTAGTGACCTTGTAATTGTAATGAAGTAACACAACACATTACTCATGTGTTTGATGCTGACAGAAACAACCCTACTGTGTTGCCAGTCATGTACAGTACATGAAACTCAAAAACGATAACAAAAGACTATGTTACTGATTTCTCATTCCTTTTAGACTGTATGTCTTCTACATATTAAGAAAGGAAAAAGCTAACTGAATAGGCCTCATGCAGGTCCTTCAGAAGGGATTCCAGGAGAAGGCACTGTTACCTTTACAGTTCCACGGATGTTATTACTCTTGGAGACCTTCCAGTGCCCCAAGATGTGCAGGTGGAAGGCAATGAGACTGATGGTCCTCACACTGGGTAAGCCTAGGCTAATGTAATTTGTGTCTTAGTTTTTAACAAACAAGTTTTAAAAGTGAAAAAAATAAAGTTACAGTAAACTAAGGTTAAATTGTTAAAGAAAAATATTTTTCTGAAGCGCAGCCTAAGCATACAGTGTTTACAAAGCACAGAGCAGTACAGCAATGTTCTCCAGCACCTTCACATTCACTCATCACTCACCACCCAGAGCAACTTCTAGTCCTGCAAAGCCATTCATGGCAAGTGCCCTCTACAGGTATACCACTTTTTATACTTCACACTGCATTTTTACTGTACCTTTTCTATATTTATATACACAAATACCTACCATGGTGTTACAATAGCATGCAGTACTCGGTACAGTAACATGCTGTACGGAAGCGTGGCCCAGGAGCAACAACCTGTACCATGCAGCCTAGGTGTGTGGAAGGCTACACCATCTGTTTGCGTTAGTACTGATGAAATTGCCTCGAGGCATTTCTCAGTATTGGTGTCCCCAGGAGCTGTGCACATGTACACCATACAAACTTTATCCCTATTAGCCGGGCTCTGATGGCTCACTCCTGTAATCCTAGCTACTTGGGAGGCTGAAACTGGGAGGTTCTCGGTTCGAGGCCAGCCAGTGGAAATGGTTCAAGAGAACCCCCCCCCCGCCCCCAATCTCCAAAATAACCAAAGCAAAATGGACTGGAGGTGCTGTGACTCAAACGGTAGATCACCTGCTTTGAACAACGACGACGACAACTTTACCCCTTTTTTTAAGGAGCTCACTGGCGCACACACCAATATGGGTAAAGCTCGGATACTACCAGTCTCATCAGAACCTCCTCCAGGGAGCAAGGAGGAAAGTAAAAGGGCAGACAAAAGTACTGCAGAACGAATAAATCAATGATGCACGCTGATTGCACAAGAACCATCTTCAACTCCCTTTCTTCTACTAGATATGTCCAGGGAAGCTTTAAAAGCAAACAAAAAACCCCACAACACAATGTGACTGTGGGTCGAGGGCGTCCATGGGGAGGAAGGGGAGGCAGCACGTGCCAGGGCACATTTAGCGCACGCTCCACATCGGACAGCAAGTAAATTTCTCTGTCTGTTCTCCTTCCTCCCAAGTCTCTGTGAGAATGGGCTGAAGAAAATCTCGTAAGAGAAAGCCATCTGTCCACTCAGAAAAGATGTGAGAGCCTGATGGACTGTAGTAATGAGAAAGCGCGCCCGGGACTCTGGCCCAAAGCCTGGGGTCGGCAAGGGAACCGGGGGAAGTTTCTACCCACAGCATCCACCTCCCGGGGTCCTCACCATGCGCATGGCCTCCTCCATCCACTTTTCGGTCTCCTCTGCGGACACCACGCACGAGCGGCCAGCAGCCTCCGTGCAGGCCGCCTTCGCCTCCATACTGCCCCGCGCCGCCCGCCGCTTGGTGTCACAGGCCGAGAGAAAAGGCGATCCGGCGGACGGAACGCAGAAGGCGCGGGCCATCGTTTCCGGGGGGAACCGAACAGCAGGGCCAGCGGGAGCGATTTGTGGACGAACCAGGACGCTCCGGACCTGCGAGCGGCGGCGGCGGCGGCGCGGCCGGCGCAACAGAGGGCGCAGCTGCCTGGCTGCAATCCACGCCCCTTCCCGCTGGGGTGACAGCCTCTGCGCAAAGTCTCGTTTGTGATTTCTGGAGCGACCGACCGCGTTCCAGGCCGGTGACCCGGCCCAGGCGACCAAGAAACGGTTTCCTGGCGAACCCGCTCCTCATCCCTAGGCAGCCCACACCCCCAGGGCCTGAAGATGCTGCGATCTATGTGGACTTTTCTGAAACGTCATAAAAAGAAATTCGTCTTCCTGGGCACAGTCCTTGGAGGTGGGTGGCATGACAGCGTGCTTGGAAGGGGCCCTTGGGAGAAAGTAGGGAGAAGGTGGCGATCCTGGACCAGGATGGGGAGAGGGGATCGTTTAGCGCTCTGACGAGGAACGGGTGCTTTCCGTCTGTCCAGGCTCTGTGCCCTTTGCCCCTTCCTCACTCTGCTTCGCCCCTGTCCCTTTCCCCCACGTGCCTTAAGGAATCTCAAGTTCAGCTTCAAGGCACCATTCTTTTTTTTTTTTTTAACAGATGCATGCTTTCCTATGGGGTTCTTCATTTCTTTTTGGCACTCCTAGTACTTTGTTTGGCTTTCACCCTTCACAGGAGTTTCATCACATTCTAGAAGGGTTAGCTAAAATCTGCACTTTGGGTGGTGTTTGAACTTAATTTCAAAATTTTAAGAACAACACATCTCACTGAAGGGCTTCGGGAAGATACATACTAGATAAAGACAAAGGGATCAATATTTTAGTTCAGGTTCTGCCATTTTAGAATACAAATCATGCAGCAACAGAATGCTTAGGTTTGGGATGTCTTGAAGTCGTCTCAGGATTGTCAAGACTGGGATCATTGCCCATCTAGCCAACATAACTAACGTCACTGGCTGAGGGGAGATTTGGAAACACATAAGACAAAAATGTTGATTTTTGAGGGTGCAGCTCAGTGGTAGGTGTGCCTGGCTTTGGCAAGGCCCTGCGTTCCATCCCCAGCACCACAAAAACCAAAAATATCTTGAGAACCTTTTTCCACATTTGCTATTCATGTCATGACAGGAACTCAAAGGAGAGAATAAAAAGCCATGTGAATTATACAAAAAGGAAATCTTAGAACTTGAAGAATTTTTTAAAATTTGAGCTTTTGATAAATATACTTAGCACTGTATGTTTTGACTACAAAAGTACTTGAAAATTAGTAACAGAAGTTTCCCAAAGAACTTAGTTGCTTTTCTCTTACTATTAGATTATATTCTAATAATTTGAAATTAACAATATGTGAGCATCAATAATTTGGATTTAGTGTTTCTTAAAAGTTTAAGGTAGTATCCTTGATGAGGCAAGGGTTTTGTGTTTTGCAAGTCTCTGAGGTCTAGCATAAATTGACAATTAGCATATGTAAATTTTGATGGCCTTTAAGAAATCCCTTACTGATAAAATGTACTTTCTGATACCTTCAGCCTCTGGTACCTAAAATATGCTTAAAATATGCTAAGACTACAGAATCACTTTATCTGTAAATGCTAAAGGTATGCATGTGATGGAAGACATATATGGAAAATGTTTTTGGCTACTGAAGAAAGAAAAATTACTGGTATCAGTTTCAGAATGCATTCCCCTTTAGGCTTATAGAACAACCTAATTGCATATCAGAAGTAATCACAGGGGAGGGAGAAGAATCTACTTATAAGATAGTTATAGATTTTTTTTAAAAACTCTGTTGAGAGCTTTATAATTATAAATGAAGAGGAATGTAAAAAGGTTCAGAGGAATTGAAACCCTGCTGTTCTGCAGCCAAAACAAGTCTGGAAAGAAGAAAAATGTCTATGACTATTCACTTGAGCCTCATATTATTTCTGCTTTAGGGGGCAGCCCTGTAACATGTTAGATTTCAATTAATTTAATTTAAGAAATGTTTACCAGATGGCCTGGAATGCTGGAGGTAATGTGTTTGAAATTCAAACACAAGTGTGTTAGACTCCAGTGTACCCATCTTTCCATGCCAGCATTCTGTTTTCATGGACTCTGTGGTCTGATAGGAGGAAAAAGCAAGTACACAAATAACAAAAATGCGTAGCCCTAAGAGAGGTGGAAAGGTTGCTGCGCACACTGGCAGATAGTACATACAGTTGTGAAAAATCAGACAGGCTTCACGGAAGAAGTAGCACATTTTCACAGGCTTCAAAGCTGGGTAAGATATCAACACGTATGCTCAAAGAAGCTTGTCCATTCAGTGGATGAAAAAATACCTATGTAAAACTGAGTTGCAGGGCTTCTGAAGTAGAAATTTTCATTTCTCTGCATTTTTGATTAGTAATTGCTTCAGACCAATTTGTACAATTTTGTCCCTTTGGGAAAGGAGCAGTGGTTCTCAATCTTTTTGATCTGAGCTCTCCTTTACACTTAATAATTAAGAGCCCAGACAGGCATGGTGGCTCACACCTATAATCCTAGCTACTCAAGAGGCTGAGATCGGGAGGATCACAGCTGGATGCCAGTTTGGGCAAAAAATTCACAAGATCCCATCTCAACCAATATCTTGATGCAGTTGGGTGTGCCTGTCATCCCAGCTGTGCAGGAGGCTAAAATCTGGAGGGTCAAGGTTACAGGTCTGACCAGGCAGAAAAGTTCATGAGACCCATCTCAGTAGAAAAAACTGGACATTGTAGCATGTGCCTGTTATCTCAGCTACAAAGTCAGCATAGATAGGAGGATCACAGTGTAAGCTGGGCAGGCACAAAACAAGACCCTATCTCCAGAGCAAAAAGGGCTTGGAGGTATGGCTCAGGCAGTGGAGTGTCTGGCTAGCAAGTGCAGAGCCATGAGTTCAAACCCCAGTACCACCAAAAAAAAAAATTAAGGATCCTAAAGATCTTTCTAAATTCTGCATCTATTAATGGTTAGCATATTTGAAATTAAAATGAAGAAATTTTTAAATATATATTGTCATTTAAAATAACTATAAACCCATTGCATATTAACATAAGTCACACATTTTCAAAAAACTAGAATAGTGGCATTGTTTTGCATTTTATAAATCTTTTTAATGTTTGGTTTAACTAAAGAAAGTTTGATTTTCTTAGCTCTTTCTGCATTCAATTGGTTGTGATATCACATATCACATGGGCTGTAGGATACTCTACAGTACACTAATGAGAAAATGAGAATGAAAAAACATTTTAGTATTATAAAAATATTTTGGACCTCACAGATCCCCTAAAAGGGTTTTAAAAGTCCCAGGGGTGCCTAGACCATATTTTGAGAACCATTGCACTGAAGGAAAAATTGCAAAACAGAGAACAATCAGACTCATATTTATTGGGTTTTTTTTAAGCACAGAGCATTGGTTATGAGTTGTATCTCAAACCTTGTAATTTCTGGCCTTTTCAGAATTATTATTCATTTATTCATTCAACAAACATTTGAATATGAGTACATGCCTACTCTCACTGTACTGGGCTGTGGAAATACAAAAGAATATGACTGTTCCTGACTTTGAGGAACTCATGGTGCATTCTGGAAAGCAGAGGTAGAAATAAAACAAAAGTAGCACAATGATAGTATTAGTTCAAAATAGAGCAGGTACTGAGGGAGCATAGAGGAGGGAGAAGCACAGAGATGTCTGGCAAGCTTCACAGAGGAAGAAGTTCTACTGAGGCAAGTTGTAAAGCTGACAAAGGAGAAAGGGGCCCAGAAAAAAAGGGAAATAATCAAGAGGTTCGGAATCATTGCTTTTGATGAATCAAAATGTCTTTCATGGTGGATAAGCAAATGGGAAGTGGTAAAAGATTAATTTGGAGAAATAGCTAGAGTGCAAACTGTGAAGGACCTTCCATGTTATACCATTCTAAATAATGTGGACAGTATCTCATGTATCAGTGCTTCTCTGACTTGCCTATGGATAAAAATCACTTAAGATGCTTAATAAAAATATAGAATCCTTTTCTCCAGATTTTGATTCTTTGGGTCTAGAGAGTACAGTCCAAGAATGTCTTTGTTCATTCAGTATTTATTGAGTTTCCCAGGTGTTCCAGTAATAGTTTAACAAAAGAGAAGAGTTAGGAGGCTGTTGACAGCTCAGTTCAAGAGCATTAATTCGGGGTCTAAATGAACACCGTGATAAAGGAGTTATAAAGAAAATAGAATGAGGAAAATTATTTCTGAAATAGAATCAGAATAACAAGATTTGGGGATCTGTTGAGTTCAGAAAAATGTTAGTAGATTATTTTCAAACTTCCTGAAACTTTAACCCAGAAAATCGTTGCATTGTAGGGATTTTTACCCTGGAAGAGAAGACTAAGAGATGGCTTAAAAACATATGAAACATGAAAAGACTAGAAGATATTTTGCTTTACCAGCAATGATCTGAAAGGAAACCTCAAAACATTGTACCTTTATTTTTAAGGCATCTAGTAAATGTTTTCATCATTCATAAGTAAAGTTATAGCTAAAGAAGAAATTTTTATACTCATATAATCCAATCTTTTGTTTTTTCCTTGTCTTCAATATAAGGAATCTATATAAGTCCTTTCCTTTTGATGGCTATCTTCTCTTTGTGTTGTCACATCATCTTCCCTCTGTATGTGTCTGGGTCCAAATTTCCCCTTCTTGTGAGGACACCAGTCACATTGATTTAGGACTCACCCTAATGACCTCATTTTATAATTTGATTACCTCTGTGAAGACCTTATCTCCAAAGAAGGTAACATTCTAAGATATTGGGGCTTCAACATATCAATTTGTTGAGGGAGGGAGAGTAGACACAATTCAAATTAAAATAATTCATTTCCTTTGTTAGCTTTAATATACTACATTTATCAAACAAATACTGTAGTTCCTAAAAAAATTTTATCAGGTTTGTTGATAATCTGTTGACCTTCTCCCCAGGAAAACACACATAACATTGTGTAAATTTGACATAACAGTCAAATTTACTCTAGAAAAATTTATAGCTCTACAAAGGGTGTCATTTCAGTGTTTCATATTACAAAATAACTTGAGAGATAATAATCACTTTGCACATAACTTTCAGTAGTCTGTGATGAAAACAAGATACACACAATTCATTCAGAGGTAGTTATGTCAGCATTGCCTGTCAGAGGGCTATTTTGGGAAATATGTCTGTGTCTTTATTCTGTTGGTATTATGGCTCTATTCTCAGTTTATTTATGATGGATTATAGGAAAGGTACCCAAGAAACCCCTTGTATGAACTTTTATTTGTTTTTAAACGTGATCATGGTATATGTACTTGTATGCAAACATAATAGCAACAATAATCATACTGTATTTCTAACTATTTTAGCACATGCTCTTACTGAACTATTATTTTAATGAATATGTAACATCAGCTCATGAACAACATCTGTATTAATGAAAATAATTTAGGATATATTTTCTGCTTTGCAGTACCTTGAGGGCTGTCCTCTTCTCACTTGTGACAAACAGACCAAATCCTATTACTTAGGTCATGCACAATCTTGAGTTCCTGTTGGTAGATATTGTAGGCTACAGATAGTTGGATGTAGGTGAGGATTACTTTGTCCCCTTTTGCCTTGCTGCCAGGTTATAATGAAATCAAGTTCTGGCAGACACGTAAAGCATTTATTAGAAGCAAAATGCAACAGTAACACAACCTGTTCTATAAGCATACTGAACTCTACCCTTTTTGGTGCCATGACAAAACCGTGTATAAAAGATTTACCTGAAACAAAGGCAACAGTATTGTAGCTGTAGGATTCAGCTGACCATTTGATTAAGTCATTGGCTAAGAATCCTCTGAATCCTTTAAGAATATCCTACACAGCTGCCATAACTTCTGATAGTTTATAAATGCTTCTTTAAATGCTGCTATTTTTGTAGTAGTCAGAGCTGAACTTGAGCCCAATCTGTATACTTATAGTACTAGGCCTTATGCTCACCACGCAAGCATTCTACCACTGAAGTGCATCCCCAGACCTTAAGCCAATCTTTGAAAAGCATTCATGCTATTCTAGTATATTATATTCCAGACATTCTCTAGAACCAGATTTCTTCATGTCTGTTGGGTTTGGGAAAATGCAACAGCATATTTTTTGAGTATGAAACTTCAGCAAAGAAATATCTTCACTTTTTACACAATGCTTTCTGGAAAAATTTGGCTTAAGTTTTGTCTTCACCTCCACAAATGTTTGGAGCAGTTTGTTCACTTGAGCAGAGGCCTAAAACACTACCAATTTAGCCTCTAAAAACCCATTTCTGATGTTCACTGATGCTGATCAGAGATAATAGTTAGATGAACCACTTAAACCTTTGAATATATCTTGATCAAATGCTAACTAAACACTAGAGTGTTCACATTCCCAGTTGGGACAACTCTGTACCCCACTGAGCATAGACTAAAATGTACACATTTATATATACTATCTGCACTTAAATGTGTTAAATTACAGACCATGTGATACTACCTATGTTTTATACTGTAGTATTGTAATAATCTTCTCCCTTTTACAATTGTTACTAGTTTTTAGGTAGTCTAAGCTTCATTCTCCTTTTCTCAGGGATTTTTCTAGCATATGGATGAATAAATAGATATCTGCCTGACTATCTACCTTTCTTTTGCCCTTTTAAAAATTTTATCTTACAGTTTTAAAAAGTGTTTTGTGTTCATTGAAGAAATATGTAAAATACAGAAAAACAAACAGAAGGGAAAAATTACCTGTTATCTTGCCACTCAACAATGATCACAATTTATTATGGGTTAGAATTTAAAACTTACATATTTTTCTGTGTGTCTCTTCCATTAAAAAATACTCTCTGGGTGCCATGGCTTATCCTTATAATCCCAGCTACTCATGAGGTAGAAATCAGGAGGTTTGCAGCTCGAGGCCAGCCCAGGCAAAATGTTAATGAATCTCATCTCAGCAAAATCAGCTTGGGGGTGTGGTATACAACTATAATCCCAGCTACTCAGGAGCCATAGGTAGGAGAATCATGGTCCAAGGCTGACCTGGGCATAAACATGAGACCCTATCTGAAAAATAACTAAAAACAGCAAAACGAGCTGCAGGTATCACTCCAGCTTGTCTAGTGCTTGCATAGTAAAGTGCTAGATGGAATCTTAGTTTATCATCTGATGATGTAACATAGGTATTTCCTTGAGTTGTTAACTATTTAGCAGTATAGTTTTTAATAACTACATAAGATTTAGCAGTGTGAATAGATCATAATTTATTTAAACAATTCCCTATTGTTGGACATGTACAGTATTTCCAGTTAACTATTAAAGGCCCTACCAGACTTTCTAGATTTTATTCCTTTCCACTTCTTATGTGCCCATTATTTCTTCTGTCATTGACTGTTAATGTTAACCTCAGACTGGGAGCATGGCCTAAGTGGTAGAGTGCCTACATGGCAAGCTAAAGGCCCTGAGTTTAAATCCAGTACAACAAAAAAGAAAAATTGATCTCTTTCTCTTTAGTTCAGTCTTACATAGTTCTTTAATATGGGTTTTTTTTAATTTGTAATTTTTATCTTTGCCTTAATCTAAGATTTACTTCAAGCAGGTTAAAATACTATTTGGGATTTTTAGTACCATAATTAATATACTGTCTTATTTTTAAAATCAATTTAGGAGTATATATCTTGGGGAAATATGGGCAGAAGAAAATTAGAGAAATACAAGAAAGAGAGGCTGCAGAATACATTGCCCAGGCACGGCGACAATATCATTTTGAAAGTAACCAGAGAACTTGCAATATGACAGGTAAGGCAAAGAGCAATATTTATTCATGTATAAAGTTGCTTGTTGATTTGCATTAGTTCATATATTTCCAGGACCAAATTTAGAGGAAAAGGCAAAAAAGAATGGTTACTCTTGTATATATTTGCATTAGCTGAAATGTCACTTTAATATGAATTTTAAAAATAAATATACTTATTCATTCATTTTATTTATTCCTTAAACAAATACTTGCACTGCCCAGCACTGAGGAAGCAGGCACTGAACAATAAACATTTTTTTAAAAATTTGTGACTTTTAGGGATTTATATTCTAAAGAGAAGAAAAGATAACAATTAAATAACTGATTGCTGGTAAAAAGAGAATAAAAAGCTGTGTGAGGAGTGAAGATGCTCCTTAACAGAGGGTGATTAGAACTTCCTTTTCCTGTGGGAGCAGCTGGGTTGAGAGGAGCGTGGCCTTCTCCTTTCCCTGCCATGTTTGTGGTCATCCCCTGATATCAGTGTACTCTGTAAAGGGGAAGTCATCCCGCAAAAATGCCACTTTACCCACTGTATTCAAGGCTCCTATTCAACCAGATATTGTAACTTTGTTCATACCAACCCTGCGTAAGAACAGCAGGCAGCCCTATGCTATTGGTGAATTAGTAGGTCATCAGACCAGTGCTGGGTCTTGGGGCAGTGGCAGAGCTGTGGCTCGAATTCCCAGAGTTCGGGGGGTGGAACCCACTGATCTGGCCAAGTTGCCTTTGGAAATATGTGTCGAGGAGGTTGCGTGTTTGTGCCAACCAAAACCTGGTGTCATTGGCACCGTAGAGTGAACACAACCCAAAAGCGATAGGCCATCTGCTCTGCCCTGGCTGCTTCAGCCTTACCAGCACTGGTCATGTCTAAAAGTCATCATATTGAGGAAGTTTCTGAACTTCCTTTGGTGGTTAAAAATAAAGTTGAGAGTTATAAGAAGACCAAGGAAGCTGTTCTGCTTCTTAAGAAACTCAGAGCCTGTAATGACATCAAAAAGGTGTATGCCTCTCAGTGGATGAGAGCTGGCAAAGGAAAAATGAGAAACCATGTGGTATCCAGCTCAAGGGACCCTGAATCATCCATAATGAAGCCATTGGCATCATCAAGGCCTTCAGAAGCATCCCTGGAATTACTCTGCTTATTGTAAGCAAACTGAACCCTTTGAAACTTGCTCCTGGTAGGCACATGGGACGTTTCTGCGTTTTGACTGAAAGTGCTTTCCGGAAATTAGATGACTTGCATGGCACTGTGCCTACAGGTGCTTCCCTCAAGAGTAATTATAACCTTCCCATGCACAAGACTGATCAATACAGACCTCAGCAGAATCTTGAAAAGCCTAGGGATCCAAAGAGCCCTCAGAGCACCACACAAGATGATCCATGCAGAGTCCTGAAGAAGAACCCACTGAAAAACCTGAGAATCATGTTGAAATTGAACCCAGATGCAAAGAACATGCACCAAAACACCATTCTTCACCAGGCCAGAAACCACAAAATCCAGGTGAATAAAGCAGCAGCGACACTGGCAGCCAAATCAGATGAAAAGGGGGCTGAAGGCAAGAAGCCTGTGGTGATTAAGAAAGGAAAGAAGGCTGTTGATGTTAAGAAGCAGAAGCAGAAGAAGCCTTTGGGGAAAAAGGCTGCTGCTACCAAGAAACCAACAGCTGAAATGAAACCTGCAAAAAAAGAAGCCTGCCACAGAAGAAAAGAAGTCTGCTCCATAACTATTAAAATCTGTTCTATTCTATAATGTCAAGTAATATGGAACAGCTTATATGAATAAAGACCTGATCAGAGATGCAGGGGAAAAAAAAAGAGAGAGAGAGAAAGAGTGGCCAGAAGAGTCAGGCCTTTTTGAGGAGGTGATTTCTGAGGAAACACCAAACAGTACAGTGGAGAGAGCCATGCCAAATGCTTGAGGTGAGTATAAACTTGGGACAGCAATTTGAGGAACAGCAAAATGGCAGTGTACTTAGAGAGGAATGAGCTGATCACACAGGGCCTTATCTGTCATAGTAAAGAATCACAAGTTTATTAAATTTATTGGAGCAACTTCAAACCTGTATGTCTTGCACAATAGTGAACACTCAATCAATGTTAATTAATGGTAATAATTTAACCTCCAGAGCTAGAAACCTACTGGGAGAATGCCATAACAAAATCAACCTTCTTTTATTTGAAGAGAATGCCTTAAAAAATTAGTTCTTAGTTTACGTCAAACCTGTTCATCTTTTTCATTATTTAAAGTTTAATCTTTTCTCTAACATTTCTTCCAAGAACAATAAACATAGAAGGAATTTATAAAGTTAAGTGTTTGTTGTTCAACTTTAAAAGTAGATTTTTTTTCAGAGTTGAAAGGACTTTATTGTTAGCTTATTTTACAGATAGAGAAGTTAAGATCATGAAGAGGAAGAGATACATCCAAAGTTACAGGTTTAACATTTGAAGTAATAATACTCAGAAAAATACTTACATTCCATACAGCAGAGAGTAATAAGAAATATTGTATGTGATAACAACTCTTGATATGGCACAGTGAGTAAGCACAGACTCTAGAGTGAGGCAAATCTGGTCTGGTTTTAGTTTGATTTGTATTATCTGTGTGTCTTTTGGTCAATATAAATAAATCTCAGTTCTCGCCTCCATAAAACCAACATCATAAAAGCCACTTCAGAAATGGCTTATGGGAGTATGATGAGATAATGCATATAAAGTGCTTGGCACATAATAAATACTCAATAAATAACTTTAAAAATTACATAATGCCTTTAATTAACATTCAGCTTTCAACACAGTGGTGCTGCCAAGGACATTTTAATGAATTTTTATGTAATAGGAATGATCCATTTCAGGCTATTACTCAGATTTCAAAAAGCAGATAAATGTAGCTCTTGGGGTTTCAAAATACATCTTAGTTTGACATGGATCTTTGTGTCAGTTTGGGTCTTCTGGGAAGCAGATGCTAGGTGTTTAAGAGATTGTTTGGGGGAAGTGCCTTTGAAGAATAATAGGGAGAGAGCAAGAATAGGCAAGGAAAGCCTTTAGACCGTAATGCTGGTCTGGTCCTTGTGAAAGGAAGGGAGAAAGAAACAAGATTATGTAAGAAGAGCTTCAGACTATAGCATAGTCCTAAGAAAGTTTGGCAGGCCAGTGGGGAGCCTGAAATCCTGAGTTTTCTGAAACAGGAGTCTTTATCTAAGCACTCTTATTGAGTAGGAATGGATCTAGAGGGGTGTTGCTGGGCTGTCAGTTAACTATGTTGTTCCCAGCAGAAGATGAAGGTAGCATATGTCCATGTCCATCACAACTCTCATAAGAACAAATAGCTGACTATAGGTAATTAAAATAAAATATAGTAAAAGTTAGAGCACTAAAAGATGCCCATAGCTAGCATCTCTGGAGAATACCCTGGGAATAACTGGAAAGCATTTACCCTTCTAAGTGGTTCATAGTGGGAAAGCACTAAAGTTTCTGTAGCAATCAGACAGAATCTTATTTTTTAAAAAGTAGAAATTCTTGGAAAGTGGAACAGAGGTATGGAAAGACTGTTCTGTTGGGTAGAGTACCCAGCAGAGAGCATACTGCAAAGGACCGGAACTGAGGCAACAGAAAGAATTAGAGCCTCAGAAAATATGCAAGGTAGTTTCATTTGATAATATACAGAATCCTATATTTGTTTAATGATGTAGAGAGCTGAGTGGGGAGGAGGGGAGACACTTCAGTGAGTAGAACAGGCAGAAGCTATGCACCAGAGGGAGGGGGCAGAGACGAAAGAAAGAACTAGAAACTCAGAAAACACTGATCTCAATACTGAGCACATGTGCATTCTAACCAAGTCAGGGGTCCTATAGTCTGCATAGCACATGACTTCTATGTGCCTCTGGTAAACTTTCTTCTTCCTAACATTTAGTCACAATGCAGTGGCAGGAAGTCATTTTGAAAGACTCCTATCAGAGTCTATGGCTATTGGAGTCAGAGGTTCCCTGCATTGTCCTTCTGGGAATCCACAGCAAGAGTCAGAAGTTTATCTCCTGATTGCTGGCCTGGAGAGTTGATCTAACTACAGGGGAAAGGCTGAGTCAGAGATGCAAAATGTTCCACATGGTGGGAAACTGGTAGGAGTCACAAGGGAGAATGTATGTTGCTTCCCATCTGGGCTGCCAATAAGGGAAACTAGCTACCAGAGCTCCAGAAGGGGGATGAGCAGTGGAAGTGATTATGTGCAAGAGCTAAGATGTGGAAACATGGTCATGGAGACCTGGAAGGTGGAGCATTCAAGCATCCCACTGCTGTGCTGCTCAGTGTAACTCCGTAAGGCTTCCCTGCCTCAACACCAGACACTTGAAGGTGCCAGAAAGTAGGACCTGCTTGCAGGTCCACCCATCCAATCATGATAAACGAGAACAGCCAAGAGTAATTACCACAGGATCTGCCCACAAACCACACCCTCTGTTACGCCAACAACACAATGGAAAAAAGAGGAGACTAAATAGGACACAGACTCTGCTGTCACCTGGAGGTTCATAGGGAAGTGGCCAGAGACCAAGATTTTATACTGGTACCCATGAGACTGACATCCCTAGAGGACTGGAAACCTGTCATCTCTTTCATTAAAAAAAAAAATTATGCCAGGCACCAGTGGCCACACCTGTAATCCTAGCTACTCAGGAGGCAGAGATCAGGATGATCAGGTTCGAAGCTAGCCCTAGGCAAATAGTTAATGAGACCCTATCTAAAAAAACCCATCACAAAAAAAGGGCTGGGAGAGTGGCTAAAGCCGTAAGAGCACCTGCCTAGTAAGCATGAGGCCCTGAGTTCAAACCCCAGTGCTGCCCCCCCAAAAATTTTTATTTTTGTTTTATTTCACTTTCTCTCACTTTTTTGTTTTATTGCTTGCTCTACTATGGAGACTTTAAAATCAGTCTGATTGCTTTAACTATTTATATATAAATTTTTTATTTCTATAGAATTTTTTTTCTCCTTGCTTTCATATTTCCCTTAT